TTCAAGCACACGGTGTTCTTGAGGGCACACGTTATCTTTTACGAGTGCTAGCTATGCTGTCATTTTCAGTTATAATTTGTTACTCTGCAATAGAAATTGGTCTATATTCACTGCATAGAAACAAGGTGATTGGTGCATTCAAACTAAACAAAAAATATCGTTAGGTCCCGGTACTCGTTTCCGAGAAAACACGTGGATTTGTCTCTAGCAAACCAAGCCGTTTAGAAAAAGCCACCATTTTGTATATGTTGTGTATGTGCACTCGCCTCGCGAGCGCGCGCTGATGACGCGAAAATCGTGCGCAGTAGGGATGCGCGATGCAATTCTGAGGAATAATCCTTAATATTTGAAGTCAGTATTTTGAAATCATTTTTTCCCATATACGACAGAAGCCATTTGCGTCTTCATGTCTCGGTCGCAGTCACACTCGGACAAAAGATGCGCGTGATTTCTGTCCACAATACCAAATATGGCCACTTAGTCGTGGCCGCACTACAGGATTGCACGACACATTTCGAGTTTGGTATGTTATCAAGTTTATGAACACACCCTGGTTGACATAAAACAAGATCCCTTCAGAAAGTCACCCAGAGCATTTCAAACTGCTTAGCATAGTTTATTATAAATATCTTTTAACATCTAACTGATCAATCTTATTAAGACAAAAAAACATGAACTAGTTTTTAAGATAATTGATACACGTGTGTTTATGTAGCGCGCGCGTGCGTCATTACCACTAGTTTGATCAAATAATACCAGGAGCCTGATAATGCGAGGCATATTATGTGCCACGACACGTGTTTTTCATCTTAAATCTATTTATAGTCACCATAATGCGACTACCTTACATAACCATAATTTTATAACAAGCTATTGTACAAGATATAACGGACGGACCATTTTTTTTTGGAGGGGGAGGGGGTTGGGATGTTTTCTGGGGCGCAAAAATTTTCTCTCACCTATAGGTTGACCATTATGTTTTTTTGGTGGGCAATAGCTAGTGCAAGAATTTTTTTTTAACGTCAAAAACCAAAATAATGGTAATAGAAAGCACCTGCTTGATTTTTTTCCCCATGGCTTCCCTTTCAAAATTGTTTTGAGCACTTTTTGCTGTGCAGGAATTTTCTTTATGGAAAATTGCCCAATCCCCACCCCTTTTCTCAAAAAAATAATGGCCCGTCTCTAATTGACTCCCAACCCTAGACCACTTCTGAGTTTTACTTTTACGTCTGTTTCAAAACGAGTTCCTGTGCAAAAAGTTCCAAATAAAGACGAGCGTGCAGGTGAAACACACTTTTGCACGGAGAGGAGGATTCCCTTTGATAGAGAGGCAGATGGTAACTCAATAATGGCCCGTTACATAGAGTTGAATACTTACAAGGCATTCACAAGCAAACTATTCACGGCCTCATGCAAGAATATCTTACATTTCCAATCACACACTATGAGAAGAGCGCTTTCCTTAGCCATAATACATTTTTTCAAACCTTTCTCTTTCTAAAACGAAAAAGCCATACGGTGTAGCACTGAGGGTCAATGCATGTGGTTTCTAAATTTTTTGTATCAATTTCTTAACCTAAATTCTGCGATCACGAATTTCACATTCCGTGAAAACGTATCCATAGGTCTAATTTATCAGTTCACCATTGACTCTCTTCCAAGACATGAAGTTAAAACTTAGTAATTGAAGACTTACAAACAAACTCCCATTCAAGTCCAACGTAGGAATAAACTTGTGAATTAATTGTCAAAGACCCTAACGTTAAGGTGATAAACGGGATTCCTCCTGACAGCAAAATGTACTATGTCGATTTGTGCATCAGGTAATGGTCGTGAACGCAAACAAGTTTGAACTAGACTTCCCTCCCGCTGCGTCGGCGAGCAAGTGCTGCACTTTGCTCCGACGGTCGAAACGTCAACTTCACCATCTCGCTATGGCGGTTAAAGGGACACCGTCAGCTGACGCACATGCGCATTAGATACCCTTTCATAGCTAATTTGCACATCACAGAGACTCGATCCATACTGTTCTTAATCAAATATGATAAAATAATATCATAGGATGAGCAAAAGCACACTCAAAAACAAGTTTTTTAGAAAACGATTGAAAATCGAGCGAAACACTGCAAAGATTGAAGCGGATTTCTAGATGCACTCGACGAGTTTCTTTGATTTCAGGTTGAAGTGAACTTTTTTCAAAGTGAGAAAACTGGTGTCCAGGTCAGCGCGGTCCCAAAGCTGACTGTGTCCCTTTAACCCTTTGACTAACAAATTTTCACCCAAAAATGCCATTTTAAGCGTTAAATCAGTTTTTTGGCTGCCATGACGCTAAATGGGCCTACGTTTTTCTGAAAAAGCTATTTGTTACCAAAAAGATAGATTTCCCGAAGATTAGGTACAAAAATGTGCAAT